GCACTTCACTAAAAACGTTAATTTTTTTCTAATGAAAACGTTGATGCTTCATATCAAAGGAACGTTGTAAGGACTTTCGTTTCTGACTAGCAGGGTTATTGTCTTCTCTTTTCACATATCAGCAGTAATTTGCCATCATATTCTCATTCCATTGTCTTTGGTAATCTTGTTCTTTTTCATGGAAGTTCCTCCATTTCTTCGCTGTGGACTCCAACATTTTCTGGGAAATAGTCTAAATGAGATTTAAGAAAATGTTTTCTCAGACTTATCAAACATTTCATATTTTCATAGTTCTTCAATATGGTAGACACAATAGATTTATATTTTTATCACGATTGTCATCTAGAAATTTTTCTACGACGTCTTTAAAATTAACTCAAGCACTCTTTTTAACAGATGTCACAGTTTTGATAAAATCATCGTCTTTTATAAGTTCCCTTATGTCAGGTCCAACGAAAATACCCTCGTTTAGTTTTGCATTACTTATTTAAGGAATTGTTTTCTTGATGTATTAAAAGCATTTTTATTCAGTATTCAGAGCCATAACATATTATTCATTAAACTGAGCTTAATGTGAAGTGATGGTAATAAGATATTTTTCCTTTTAACAAGGCTTTCAGATGCTATATTATGATCTTTCATTTTCCACACGCTTCTCTCTGGCCATTTTTTGTTACTTATTGTTAGTGTTTACCTCTTGCAAGGCTGTTCTAAAGACACAGAGAGCAAGGATATTTTATGTTTACGATTGTAACCCTAGTACATCTTAAAGTCACCACAATGAAGCCATTTATATGCGTTGCATTGCAGCTTTTCAAGAAGAAATCGAAAATTATCATAAGATTCTTTTAGTATAATTGAATGACCTACAGGAGGAGCTTCATATTTGTTCCCGTTATTTAACAAGACTCCTTTAAGACTTCGTAAAAGAGTCTATGAAAAAATGCCAGTCTTCTGGCTTATACCTTATATAAATAAAAAATACCTTTACTGTCGTTACAGTACACAAATTCCTTTCCCATCGAAGAAAACTTAACAAACTCTTGTCCCGTTTTTCTGTAGCAGTTACTTTTATTCTAGATAATAATAGATTTTTTTCCTTGAGTCTTGAAGCTCACAGCTGAGCTTTATCTTTAGGAAGATTAAAATCGTGAATGATAATTCAGCTTGATCAAAAAATTTCGGACTATTTTCTTCAAAGCTATCTCCAGATCAAGTGTATTCGGTTTCATCTACATGAGCAATATTCAACGATTATTTTCATTAGAATATTTTCTTCTTTGGAAAAACTTTTTTGGTTGCGTTTAAATTGAACAGTTAAAAGCACTCGATACTAAATAATACAACAGAGCAAAAATCCAGCTGGTACCCTTGAACTTAATATTTGATACTGAAATTTTTGTTTTACTGAATATTCGATTACTATAATCACTCCAAACATTCAACCATTAGCCTGCCACTCAAACGTCTTCTCTATACCGAAAAATTTGTATCTGTGAACAAATTTCATAATCTGAAAATCGAACAGTTAGCTCATCACTCAAACGTGATCTCGAACATGGAAAGATTCATGCCATACAAGCAAAATAACAACATATAACATGTAAAATAACTCGAAGAATACAAAATTGACTATTCTATTCTTGAAAAATTAGAGGACACAGAATTCAACAACATCGAAATTTATACATTTTTCAAGCACCCACGGTTCTAGGTGTTCATTGTCGTAGGTTTAAGGTTCACATCGTTCAGGCTTCTTGGAATTAGAATTTCGAAGTTAACCTGTCGCTGGTTTGAGGGTTATGGCATGAGACCCCAAGTCTTACGGGGTTGTTAATAAAGTGTTCTCTATTATGGATATGGCATCTAACTTTGTGGCATCCAGTGTTTTGACGTAATTGTAGCCTCGAATTTATGTAATAAATTTACGGAATTGTGATTATTGAAGGTAGTGTAAATGCTCGCTTTTATTTATTATGTTCTCCATTCCGATATTTCTGACACGTCGTCCACTCGTCACGTCCGCCATTCTAAATTTTCGATCGCTGTACTCATTTATTGTTTTTAAAGTAGCTTACATTATAAATCGATATTGACATACCGAAAATTAAGCAACAGTCTCTTATCGCACTCCTGAGAAGTTTTTCTCGATAGGAAACTCAAATTTTTTTTTCTCCAAAGTACGATATCTTACCTTACAATGTAGTATTTGAAGTAGTTTTTGAAGTAGAAAGATTTGCCCTTTCTAATGCTTGATTCGGATATGCAATAAAATTAAAATTCATGTCAGAAGAGCTCAAAAATAGCAAAAAACAATGTTTTTGTACTTTTAGTTTAGGATATCTCGAAAACCTGACGTACAGGGTAAATTTTAAGCTCAGACTTGGATTTAGTACATCAAAATCCTTCGTGTACACTAGATTTAATCTCTGGGCCTAAAATTTATTGGTCGAAATGTTTTAAAACTATATTTTACGAAAACGTTTAGTAAGGTTTCTAAAAATATTTTTGAAATATTTCTAAATAATATTTCATGAAATATTTTCTCGATATTTCTGATATTTTACAAAATATTTTTATGATTATTCATGGTAAACATTGCATCAAATATTTTTTATATCTGTCATAAACTGCAACGATTACCGAAAATCGTAAGACTCGCGCGAGGTAATGAGCGGCTAAACGAGAGTAGCCGCGCTCGGTTCGCGAGAGAGAGAGAGAGAGCGTAGGGGCAATGACCGGGAGGGGAGGGTCCGACCGGTAGTATGACTGTGCCACTCAGTCAGTTCGTGCGCCTAACCTGTTTCCGAGCCGTTCGAAGTTTCGTGCGTTGTTTTTGTTCCTGGTGAGAGTGCGAACTTCGGTGCGGTGTGCTCGTAGCAGCCGCAGCAACAGTAGTAGCAACAGCAACAATAGCATCAGCAGCAACAGCAGCAACAATAACAACATCAACGGTGGCAATAGTAGCGGTAGGAGCAACAACAACAGCAGCAACAGAAATCGAGGTGGTACCGCAAGCAGCGGAGCAGCTTAGTAACAGCGTGTTATTCGGATACGGTTGGCCACCGTATCCACACCGTCATTGCGGTAGGTGCACCTTCCCTTCTCTTGTTGTTAATTTGCGTGCGAATCCGCGCAGCGAGCGCGAAGAATCTATTTATTGCGTGCGAGCAGGTAGTTCGCGGTAATCGCGGTTTTTTTCTCTCTCTCTCAAATAGCGTGTCTTGTCATTCACGCGCGCGTGCGTAAGTCTCTCGGCCAATTCCCCGTGTAATTTGTTTTATTAAATAAATCATCCCTTGTTTTCGTTTAAACGAGTTTCCGTTATTGTGTTCTTTCCTTTGTCCGGCGGTCGCGCCTACATTTGTTTACATTTCGTTCGAATTCGCCGGTAGCGTAGCACGGAGCTCGCTGAGATCAGTAGAGGCGAATCGGTAACAGCGTTTCCATCGGCGACCGCGCGAGCGCTACTAGCAAGGAGCGACAGCGCCGCCACGCGGTGAGTCGGGGGAACCCAACTCGGAATCGTGAGGAAACTCTGCGCAGGCGCACTCCGAGACAAGGTAGGTTAATGCGCATCGAGCGCATAGATAACTAAGCGTCGTCTGGTCACTTTTAGGTATATCTAAGGATTTATTGATTAGACGGCAGCCTGTTACAAAACATTTCTTTGAAATAATATGTAGAAATATTTTGAAATATTAACAAATATTTTAGAAACCTTCCAGAAATTTTCTAGCGAAATATTTTCCAGAAGATTTATTTGAAAATACGTCACAAGGTTACAGCGAATCACTGATCCTGTATTCGGCATTCTCCTCGCGTGAACGCAGTTACCAAATGTTACTCTATCAACAGAGTTTACATGCACCTGTCCTTGCAGATCCTAGAGAGGAAGAGTCGCGTCTGATGGACCAATGCCGTGAAGGAAGTAAGCGAGAGGAGCTATAGAGAGAGAGAGAGAGAGAGTGTGTCAAAGGAGAATTTTGGCTGAGAAAAAGTGGGGAAGAGCGGCGCGTGCAGCGACAAATAGAGTCCGTGTCGAGAAAAGAAAAGAATGGGTAGTTAACGAGTGCCATGAGAGAAAAATGACCGCTTAATTTCTTGAACAACAATTGAGAGAAAATGATTGGTAATACCGAACTAGGAACAAGCGGAGTGCGGTAAAAAAATAACAACAAACATCCAGACGATCAGTTTAGAGCTGGGCCTTGACTTTTTCTGCACAAGAGCCAACAACGACAACTATAGCGGCAAACATTCCACGGCGCGGGACCAATGATCCAGTCGATTATATCGGCCGCCTCTACACAGATGATATCACTGCCACGGACACCTCTGACAGCTGGGCTACGATTTCGCCATCACCGCATCTCCTTCTGTAAGTTGCGGCAGCGGTAGTATTTTGATTCTCTCTTTCGTGCCAATTCTCATTGCTACCCAGTAGACCGTTTTGCTATTTTTGCGGTCCGACGCTGACCGAACTCACTGTTGCTTTGCGTTTTGCTGTCGTGTTTTGTGTTTGAGCGAGTTTGCTCAGCCTCGGCTCTGTAAATTAGCCTTGTTAGTCCATTATTTAAACTTGGTTTAATAAAAGTGAGATCGCCCTTTGTTAATTATAATTTATACTTTATTAATGTAATATCCTCACCCTTCTTAGCCATCGCGATTCGCTCTCCCTATAGAAGTCAGTGCCGACTTCTTTGGCTGAGATCGAAGCCACGTTAAATTTGAGCAGAGATTGGCCCATGGTGTATGGCGGCCAAGCCTTCTTGCAAATATTTGATGCTCTGTGGATATTCTCTTATTATAAATTTAATATGTTCAAAACTATAGTACAAAAAGTACAGTGAGATTATCAAGATAATTGTTTTGAATAGAATTAAAATGGATTTTTCGCATTATAATTTTTATATTCAAATAATTTTATAAGAAGTAATGTTCTTCTATCTAAAAATATTGATTATCTGAAACAATATAACTCATTGTAATTTACTGACCTCTAAAGTTGCTCCAACTTGTCTACTCAGCATTTCTGCTTGTAATAAACGAATCGCAGTCAAACCTTTATAATCAAGATAGTCATCTTCAGTGCTCATTTTCTTGCAGCTTATCTTATCTCTTTCATTTTGAACAGCTGAAAAAGTTAAATTGTTAACAAAATAATATATTCACACAATTTTTGTTTATTTTTCAATTATTTATATGCTATCTTTGTCATGTTCGAACGTCTATAATTAAACGAATAACGTAGCAATTATGTATTGGACGTTCCACGTCAACCGGATCACCTTTGTGACCAAAAATTTACGCAACCGATTTCTAAGACTGTATGCGCCTTTGCGAATTTCAGTATAGAGGCTTCAAGATGGTGTCTAAAAGCACTTAATTTTTGTAAAAAAAATGTAAAACAATGTATACAAAAAATTTATCGCATACTTAGAGAGCTATATATTGTAACACGTTGGTTTCTGCCGACTAAGAAGTCACCACGGTACTGACGGTTTAGGTAAAAAACTAAGAAGGATTAAGAGGAAATAAGGGCGCCAGACACTTCTATGTCTAGGTATCATTATTATTGGAATTACCTAGATCTCGGAGGGACTTACCACTCCGTATAATTATTCAGATCAAATAATTTAATTCTAGATAATAAATTTGACGGACGCGAAGTGCTAAGACCAAGGCCGGCTTCGAATGATAGAGAGTTGAGCGTAATCAAGCTCGCGGTTACTCCGATAGCAAATAGTCGGGGTAACTTGTTTTCTTCAACTTTCCTTAGTCTATTGTCTTTCAAGGGGATTATGACGCGCTTAGTAGGATAAATACAGGAGAGGAAGGTGAAGAGTAGGAAACTATGATATTTACACGGCTGATAAATTTTGAAATAAAAGTTGTGCCTTTTTTGACCAATGTAAAACATACGATTGTTAGTGTGGAATATACAAAATAAAAATTATATAAAGTGTAGCGTGTTGTATGAGTGTGTTGGCTCGATACTAAAAATTAATAACAATAATTAAGTTGCAAAGTTATTTATAATACGCTACTGAGAAATTACAAAGAAATTGATAATTTTAAATAAGTAATAAAATTAATACTAGAATCGCGTGAGCTCTAATTAGTACTCCACATTGCTTTCATGTAAACAGTGAAATTCAATTGAGAACCGGCAGGCAATACCTTCCGTTAAATAGTGAGAGGAATTGCTTAAAAATTAAGGTTGGCTGAAATATAAATCTTGTGGTACTCACTCTACGGTAATGGAGGTGTAATTCCGAGTTTATAATAAAATCTCAGTCTCCCAGGGTTTCCAGTAATTAAATATAATTTTCTATAAATGTCCGGCAATTCTACAGGCAATTATTAATTTTGAAAATTATTCTGACAGCCCAATAAATCCTGGATAGTTGTTTTACAATTTAGAAAAATTAATTACAATGAGCACGAGCGAGCTATGATGCTCACACTTTAATTTTAATCTACAAAATTGCAACAATAAATTACGAGATGTGTTCAAAAAATACTCGGAATTTTTTAATTTCGCGGGTCTGGAGAGTCCGATTGTCAAAATTTTTTTTTATTGTGTTGGTATATATGCCCCTGAAGTATGATAAAATTTTCAGCTATATTCACTGTTTACTTTGTCTGCGGTAGTCGCTAAGGTTTGACGTGTTTTTATGAGCTCGGCGATTTTCGTTTTTTAAAAGAAATGGATCAAAGAATTTGTATTAAATTTTGCGAAAAAAATGAAATAAAGTGTAATAAAGTGTGTGAAATGTTACAAAAAGCCTATGGTGAGTCTGCTATGAATAAAACAAGTGTTTACGAGTGGTATAAGCGTTTCCAAGATGGCCGCGAAGACGTTGAAGATGACGACCGCTCCGGTCGACCTAGCACGTCAACAATCAATGAAATTGTGAAAAAAGTGGAAAAAATGGTTCTGAATGATCGGCGAATCACAATTAGAGAAGTTGCTGATGAAGTTGGTATATCAATTGGCTCATGTCATAACATTTTTTCAAATGTTTTGGGCATGAAACGGGTGGCAGCAAAATTCATTCCAAAACTGCTGAACTTTGACCAAAAAAACAATTGCATGAACTCGCTCAGGAGCTGTTAAATGACGTCAACGACGATCCAAGTTTGCTTGAAAGGGTCATAACTGGTGATGAAACATGGGTGTACGGTTATGTCGAAACTAAAGCACAATCGTCCACCTGGAAGCATTCAACGTCACCAAGAGCGAAAAAAGCACGTTAAGTTCGATCAAGTGTGAAGGTTTTGCTTACAGTTTTCTTTGACTGCAGGGGCGTGGTGCATCATGAGTTCTTATCACAAGGTCGTACGGTTAATAAGGAGTATTACCTTGAAGTTATGCGACGTTTGCGTGAAGCAATCCGAAAAAAACGCCCCGATTTATGGAAAAACAATTCATGGCTTTTGCATCACGATAACGCACCTGCTCACTCATCGTTGCTTGTTCGTAATTTTTTGGCCAAAAACAATACCGTAGTCATGCCCCAACCTCCATATTCACCAGATATGGCTCCGTGTGACTTTTTCCTGTTCCGAAAGTTGAAGAGACCCATGAAAGGACGGCGGTTTTCCTCGATTGAAGAAATAAAGGCCGTATCGCTGAGAGTGCTCAAGGACATACCAAAAAGTGAATATCAAGAGTGCTTCGAAGATTGGAAGAAACGCTGGCATAAGTATATTATATCTGGGGGGGATTACTTTGAAGGGGACCACATTGATGTAAACGAATAAATAAATATTTTTTTGGAAAAACGATAATTCGGGGTACTTTTTGAACACACCTCGTAATTATAAAAACTCAGAAAATTGATAGCTGGAACCAGATGTCCAGTCTATCACATAGCCATCGGCACACTCTCGGCCTTCCTTCTCTTATCATTTTATCTTAGTCGTAGATCTTAGCAGTATCAATTCGAAGTAACGAGATTTTATTAATAGGCGCTGTCCTTTTCTCATATGATTTGGCTATTAGTCCATCTCTCACTAGGTCTCGTCAAAGTAAATGCAATGCGCCCTCCTTATCTAATTTAGTAAGCTATCTCTTTCTAATTCGTTTACATTAGACTATACAGGTGGGCGTGGCTAGCGCAGCATATGTTTACATATGAATAAATTTGCTAGGAACTATTTCGATTTATATTTCGAATATCATGTAATTTTTATTTTTGTTTATTTTACGCGATAATTATTTTCTTCGCATTTTGACAAGACTTCATGTTGTTGAAATTATCCATTTTCTGCGTAGATGATGTTGCTCTTGGCTTATGCCAATAAGGCAGTTATAATTCGTCGAATGGTCGAGAGTAATAGTTTCTATTAATTATTAGTAATGCTGCTCATCGTTACAGCATATGAAAAAAAATAAAAATAATTATGTAGAAAGTACAAAAACGGAAAAGTTAACCTAACAAATAAATAAACTCAAATCTTTTTCATGATAACGTTTCCTTGGCCTGGACATCAACGGGTTCAGATCTTTATTAACAATACAAATAATTATTAAAATACATTTATAAACAAGATCAATACAAAATACATTCAAATTACAAACCAAATAAATTTTGAAAAATATCACGCTATATATAAATACCAGCAAAAACTATCAATATATATTTAATAAATGGCAGTCAAACAAACAAGAACAAATTGAATTTAAAATTAAAAAGTAATTCATTATGATCACCCAAGGGATCGTATCGCCACTTTGTATTGCACTGAATATATCACTAAGTATATACAAAAGTATATACAAAACAGAGCAGCAGTAAAGCAGAGAATTACTGAAACAGAGAAAACAGGCAAAATAGATAATAATGTTACCCACCTTTCCAATTCCTTCCCCATCTACATAGAATTAATTTACAAAATATTCATACATTCTTTGGTATTGTTTACTATACACAAGCCTTTACACAAGCCTGACACACCGTTTCGTCTTATTGTCTCAACAGTTAATAGCCCTCTAAATTTTCTATCCAAAATTCTTGACAAATAAGTAAAGGAGTGTGTTAAAAAACCGGAATTTCATGTTAATAATAGTTTTATATAGATAGATCTCTGTTGGTTCCTAGGGATTACTGTTTAATTTCATTGGATGTGTCATCACTTTTCACTAATGTACCGGAATCGTTAGTTATTGACAGTTTAGATAAAAGATACCAACAAATACATAATCATTGTAGGATTCCTTTCAATACTATTATTGATACTGTTAAATTCTTATTTGCAAACAATTTTTTCCAATTTAATGGTAGATATTATCAGGACATTTTTGGCATGTCGATGAGTTCTCCTACGTCCCTATTGTTTGCTGATTTAGTTATGGAATATTTGGAAAGGTTTTGTCTATTGTTGTTGAAAGATAAATATAATTGTGATCCGCTATTTTATTATAGATATGTGGATGATACTATTTTATGTATAAAGAAAGAACACATTAATATTGTTTTACAAGTTTTTAATAGTTATAGTAAACATTTAAAATTTACACACAAAGTCGAAAATAATGGCAGTATTTCGTTTTTGGATTTATCTCTGTCTATTGTGGTCTACAAAATTATTACTAATTGGTACCAAAAGCCAACATGTTCTGGTAGAGTTCTCAATTTTAATTCTAATCATATTGTACAACTGACACGTAACATTGTTTACAACATGTTATATAGAGCTCTTTTATTGTCACATGATTCTTTCAAGAGACAAAACATAGACAAGGTCAAAAACATTTTGATTGATAATGATTATGTTATGTCTAAGTGAGGAGATGTTACTGCTAGACGTAATAATGTATAAAATACTGTCGCGTTGGTAAAGGTTGGATCTTAGTCAGGAGTTAAGCAGAGGTTGGTTAAAGGGATAGCGCCTTTATAATATGTAGCGTGTTTAAGTAGATAACTTAGTTTTTTACCTTATTAGGATTGGATTTCAGAAGAGGTTTTCACAAACAGTCTCAGGTGTTTGTGCTTGATTTAATATTTATTGTTTAAAGACAATTTTTATAATGCTTAGCAGACTATAATTCCGGTTCTGAGTAATGGATAGCGAGACTTAAAAATAACTCAATTAGTACTGCGCGAAACGTATACTGTGCGAACTGAA